TAAAACCTCTGATAATCCTCTTGGCATTTTTTCAATCACAACTTTCCACGAAAAATATCTTGAATCGCTTATAATTGACTAAATCATATTTCTGAATGAGCGTAAGCTAGGACTGAAAGCCTTTTTATATGAAAAAACAATTGAACGGGGTCATTGTTTTACATATGTTCTAATTTATTTTTAAATAAAGAATCTAAAAAGAAGAAAAAATCATAATATAATCTACAGTAACAAAAAAGATTTCAGTTTTTCGAAGTGATCGCAAACTTTTTTTGATGTGTGTATATATATATTTGCGTGTGATGCACTTTGGTGGCATGGCTTACTGGGCTGCGATCGCTCACCATATGGTACTGGCAGAAAACCAGCACTGTTTGACTTCTCTCGGTCTACAGTATTTATGCTGAGTCAGGGCCATTTCAGCACAAACTGTAGTCTTAAGTACATTAAAATTTTATCAGTTGTTATAGTATTTGTTTGTATTTCTCACAGTATTTGTTTTTCTCGCAATATGTGTTTTGTATAAATGTGTATAAAATTAATAATGAATGTTCTATGTGCTTTCATGTTATACTCTGTGAAGTGATTGTAAATGTTTTGTTTCTGTTTGTATTTGTGTTGAATAAACGTGTTATCTATCTATCTATCTATCTAACACTTAGGTTAATCTATTTTTAGTCTGAAAAGTTAAAAATTACTATAATTCAAATTTAAATTACTGTATTAGTTGTAACACCAGTTATAGTAGATATTAAGGTAGTCTATTTCATCATCTTAAAATAATATAAGAGCCAGATTACTATTAATATTATAGAAGAGCGATGTTTCCTAACACAGGCCCTAACAAGGGCCCTTTAAAATGAACGTATAAAACCATTTTATTTTATTTTTTACATAATCCCATCCAAAAGGCCATAACGATTTCGTATTTCATTAAAACGTAATAATAGAGATATCAAGCTGAAACTTATTCAAGGTGCAGGGCACATTGAAGAATGGAATTCGGTCTCGTTCATATGATAAAATTTTCTAGATTTTGAGACTTCTTTAAAAAATCTATATATTTAAGTACCACTAACGGAACAACACCTTTGTTAGATCACAGCGAAATTTAAATTCTAAGTTAGCCATTTCATAATCACCCCTCGCTAACAAAAGGAAAACATAGTGACGTAACCTGCACGTTGAAGAAGGTTCGCAACCCCTGGAAACTAAGGACCTAAACCTTCTCGTTAGAAGTAACTAGTGGGACTTTTGATTGGACCAACCTCAATTTGTTGCACAGTGAGATCCAAAAAGGTAAGGTCGTTCCGCACTTGGATGACGGATTTGGGCCCCTTGCAGCCCATGGAGGTACCGAGACCTCCGTTCAGCTTGACAACGACCAGTTTGTCCAGGAAGTGGTGGACATTCTCCGTGGTGGGGGTTGGCAGCGAGTTGTAGTCGATGACCGCACCTTCTGGAAGCTTCTCGATCTTCTCCCATGTTACCGACGGACCCTCTGCAGAAAATAAAATCGTGTTTCGTTCAATACATCGACTATTGAATTGGTTTGGTGACAGCAAAATAAATAATTGTTAACAAAGTGTCATATCTACGAAAACTGAATACATAATATCGAGTTCTTAGGTTTTCGCGGTTGTTACACATAGGAAATGAAACTATTTTTCCGGATTTAAATCGCGTATATTTGTTTTTTTCAAACAAACCGACGTTTCGGGCCCTTTACAGGTCCCATGGTCACGGTTGACATGGCCATGGGACATGTGAAGGGCCCGAAACGTCGGTTTGTTTGAAAAAACAAATATACGCGATTTAAATCCGGAAAAATAGTCTGAATACATGGGGAGTTATCGAAAATTGTGCTAACGTAGCAAAGGTGGATTCACAATGCACATATTCTGCCAATATATTGCCGCAATTTATCGCGTTGCGCGATATGGCCTTGAGTTGACCTATCAGGGGCTACGACATTTTATCGCGCTATTCAATTTAAAAGCTTGTTTCAGGTTTTTTATCGCAAAACGCGGCAATATGAGCGATGACGTCACTGTCGTCTGTATGGCGGGATACTTTTTTCGTTATAATTTTAAGTGTTTTTTATGGATGGAATTTTAAGTTATTTCAAGGGATTAGCGGATCCTAAAAATAAATTGACGTATTAACATAAGTCACGTATTAACCTCGTTAAGATAAGTTAGTCTAACATACAAAGTGGAAGAATATTTGATCGACTTAGTACGAGAACAGAGATGTTTATGGCCGGGGTTCAAACATGGGACTTCGTCACAGAAGTCGTCATTGCAAGCATTATGATTGGATCCACAAATTAAAACAGATTACCCTGAAAATATTATTATTTAACATGCATTCTATACATCATTTTTACAGCAGGGCTAGTGCGAGGTGGGCGCGACTAGCGCGAGAGCGACATTAAGATCTCTATGGGAGTACAGCAGGCCATAGCCCGCCCAGCTGTCCCAATACACGTTGAAGTGTTTAAAATATTTTTCTGTGTCGCATTTCAATCGATACAAATCCGCGAAGCTGGTATAAAAGTATCATACTATCTGCATTTAACAAAGGTTATTTGAAAATCAAAATAGCATGACAATACTGTGCCCGCCTTGATGTCGCCGCGCATGCAAATAGTTCGCTAATCGCCTGTGTGATAAGGCTCTAATATAAAAAAAAAATTAAATAAGCAAGTCGTACAAGAATTAATTTTACGGCCCACAGGTTAAAGGTTGAGTTCAGCTCGAATTAATTTCATCCCGTACCAATACGGTTCATTTTGCGGTGGCACGGACACTGGCTTTATTTCCGAATGTATTTTTTAAAAACCGAAAATAAAGCTGTTTGAAAAATGTATATCGTATACTATACGGGTTCTATTTTACTTCAGTTGACATGAAAAAGAAGTCATTGGTATTCTTAAAGAGACTTTTGAATATAGCGGTTCTCTTGTAAAATTTCGAGGCAAGTTTATGTTTTCTTTCTTCAGTGTAATATCCTCAATTTTACATTATATATTTTTTCCAAGCTGATCGATTCAACACTTTCGCTGCTATGCAGAATCAACCAAATCCATTTGAGCTTGTGTAGACTCTTTTCACACCGACTCATATATGATACTCAGAACCAAATACTCGATTAGGGCGTCAGACATTAAGGCATTGACTGCATGTAACCTTGAAAATAAAGCGTAGCACAGGATTCGAACCGTTAATCTCGCAATTGAGAACCAAGTGTACGTCCACTTATTTACCTTGCGTACTTGCGAAGCGAAGAAGGTAAAAGCTTAGGTTCATAGTCTCTGCCTGCCTCAATTGGGGATAGTCGTAATGGTATATGTGCATGAGTGTATATTAAAACATGGACGCCAGTCGAGGAATTTCTTTTTTTTTATATTGTTTTTTTTAACGCTGCCATTCATACTACCGCATTACACAAATTACACCCAAACCACGGACTACTCAATAGTTTCTATTAACAGATACACTCTCATACAAAATCGAAAATACCTATGCTATAATAGCCTACTAAATCTGACTAACGACACCAGGTGCTCACCACGAGGAAAAAGGAACCTAAGCACGCGCTCAGAGAGGTGAAAATAACGTAGCCCGCCGTGTGCAGTCGTGCGGAACCGAATGCTGGGGTTGTATAGTTGGTGAAATATTATTTCCACTGATACGTCTTATCGCTTCACCTTTAGAGTACAAAAGGACAAAAGAGTGAACCGTCTTGCTAACGCACGTGTCATCTGTATTATAGTGCAAACAACTATACTCTAGCTAAATTCGATGTGGAATGTTTAATAACAAACCGTTGCTAGGCAACCAATGACGGCATAGAAAAAGAACATTTTTTTCAATGCTCATTACTAAGTCTTGCTCTGACTACGGCCTGCTCCCTTAATTGGAATTTAAATAGGGTTAAGTAGAAGTAATACTTACCTAACCAATTATTATAAAGACTACAAAATACCTATTGATTCGTACGACTTAGGAATAAAAATAAGTTTTTGCATCCTATTAATGTTTACTGCTAGATGGTAGGTAATGGTAGATGCAATCTCTCCCTTCAAATCAAAAAGTCACTAGGGATGACACAGTTTTATAAATAATCAGTTAGTGGTCATTTTTATGTGATTTGAAACTTCAGCTGAATAATAGTCATTATAAACACGGCCATAATCTAGTCGTAGGAAAATATTGAAATTGTGGTAACAGTGAACGAGATGAAAACCCTGAAAATCATATGTTTTTGTTTGTTGACATTTATTCTACATCGGAATTGGCTAGAGTATAGTTTAAACACTTTTACGCATTGGCACTTAATTCCAAAGTTAGTAATCTTTATGCGGAACTGACTTTGTTGAATTAGTACGAAAATAGTTGGCAGTGGTTATTTTAATAAGTATCTACATTTAAAATGTTACCAATTAGTTTGTTTAAAAATAGATTGAATGTTATAATTATTAATACAAAGATCGAACACTCAGAAAAAATTCCTTCGATCCGGTCGGATTCGAACCGACGTCTTCATGCATACCGTGGCAGACGCTATACCAACTAAGCCACGGAACGAACTAACGGACCTCACGAATTCTTCTATGTGCTTGCGTCGTGTCTTTGTACTTGGTCTTTCAACGACGTTGAAATTTCACAAAAAAATAATTGAATATCAATTCAATAAAAATTTAATTAATAGATTGAATGCATAATATTATTTAATTCTTTGACTTTCATAATTTTTGCTATTATTTAAATTGAAATAAAATCAGAACTTTAAGGATGTTTTGTGCATATCTACTGACATTATTTTTAATCTAATATTAATTGTAATTCAATCACTATAAGTATAATTTTGCATGTCAGATGTGGTAAAATAAGAGCTATGTCTCTGCTGTATTCCATCTCTTGTTCACAATATTTTAAGTAAATAAATTTTCATTTCATTTCCAAAAACCGATCTGATCACTCTACTTATACGAAATTATAATATATGTTAGAAATAATCTGTCTTCATTTGGTACTATAAATGTTTCTGGCATCCCACTTCGCCGTACCGGTCATTTGAGAACAGTCCCTCGACGCATGGCACTTGCAGAGAAAAACCCGCGTGTCATCGGACCTATTTACTATGAGCGTTTACCCGCTACTCTCAGACTTGAACTTAACTTATGGACTTGAAATTTATGGACTTTATATTGTAACGAATTCAGTATTTTCTATTTTTATTCTAATATAATTCTAAAATATTTGTTATCAATTTATGACGATCCTTGATGGAGAATGATATTTGATATATAATTTATTGACAACAATATTATATAGATGAATTGTTAATTTTCTAATTATGGTATGCTTTTCTTATAATTTTCCTTTTTGTCTGACGATCTCAATATAATATCTTATACTTTGACATGTAGTGCAATTTATACTGTAATGTTATATTTGAGAAATAAATGAATCTGAATAATAACACACACACACACACTCAACATAGCCCCGCACTAGGGAAACCCTGTGTCGCGGGTGCCATGGACACACATATAGACAAGCATAATTTACACCCAAACTCACGAGAGAAACAAATGTAGGTCATACAAATATTTCTCGCGGCCCGGGAATCGAACCTGGGACCTCTGCGTGGCAGTCCGGCATGGTAACCGTTCGGCCACAGAGGCAGCTAAATCTGATGAGTAAAGAAATTATTCGAAACCAAAGTTCATAAAAAGCTCATAGCGCACCCTTACGATGGACCAAGATCATTAAGTACGCTTTGAGTAAAAGAAGTGACGGTTTTATTATTGTATTGTAATTGAAAGGACAAGCAATCTCAAGATATAACATCCGTCAGTGCATATTTCCTCAACTACACAAGGATTATAATGTAAATGAAAAACTAGTCTGACCGCTTGCAATGTCGGCGATACTTAGCGGTAGGCACTTATCTTTTATATTAACTTACGAGAGAAATAAATGCATTATGTCTACCGGCCCGGGAATCGAATCCGGGATGTCTGCGTAGCAGACCAACATGGTAGCCGTTCGGCCACCAAGGCAGTTACATTGTACTTTTTCAAGTACAAGGACTAGACCAGGAGATACTCGGATCGAGAAGGTCCTCGTGATAGAGTTCGTCTAGGGAAGTACTGCTACCTTACATATTTCTGCCGCCAACCAGTCCGGTTTTGAAGATTAAGGGTGCTGGTGAAATTACAGGCACTTGGGACTTGTCAACTTATGTCTCAGGGTGACGGGCATAGCGGCAGTGCTTTGAGTGGCAGTGCAACTGTTATGGATAGACGTGTCGCTTACCACCACTTGATATTATGAAAAAATCTATGTAGTAATTAAAGCTGGGACCTTTTATGTAATCGCCGTAAGCGGGTTATCACAATCGCAAATGGCTTATCAGTAGTAGGTACATTTTAAACATTCGCTGAGAGCAAAGCGTGTTACACACGATATAATACTATAATAATATAGCTTAAACAGCTATCATATATATTATCGCTGTACGTATCTAATGTATACCTAAACTATATTTTAATGTGTTTTAATCTTTATTGATGTTATCCACCTTATGAGGAACGTAGTAACTAAGCTAACTTCTATCTCGTTCTTTGGACATTAAAATTTTGTTTCAGATGTAAATCGCGAATAATGCAAACGAAACTCGCAATTGCATCGCTACACTTGCTATTTATAGACGATTGGACGATTGCATCGCGCGACTGCGTATATATATATATCATTGACTTACAAATAAATGGACGACGGGTCTAATACAAAAACCACGAAAAAAATGTCCCAAGTCAACCTATTTAAACGTAGTGACATGTAAAGGAATATGAAAAAGCTAAAACGTTGAATTTAAATTGTAATGTCATCGCAGTACTGTCTAATTTTGCTCGCTTCGCTGTCAGTCGAACAAACGAAGACTAAAGCGTGAATGACGCTCTGTATACGATTTTAACGCCCTATAAGTTCGGCCACTTTTTAGCGCGGACCCGATGTCCATATAATTGTAAGTCAATGATAATAAAGGACTTAATTTATTCTGGTATTATTTTACTATATTAATTTTTCACGGCTTCTTATAATCAACAAATATTTGAAAAATTATCATTTTAAAAACGCGCTGCGTCCGCGTCTTCCATTTAATCAAATCAATCGGTTTCTGGAAGGAGGCGGGAAGGAGACGCTTATGACGTCATCGAAGGTACAAAAAATGTGGCACGTTTAGTTTTCGTAGATCCCGGTACTTGTAGAATTTATTTAGATGTAAATGTTTGTGATTTTACCTGGTATTTTTTTTTAAATAAAGGTGTCAGGTTGCTAGATCTTTAGGCCAATTTAATCATTAGGATGCAGTAGAGCGTTTAAGTAGCCTCATAGAACACTACATCTTTTTTTTGAAACATCGAGTATATAACCAGGAATAGAGACGAAATGTCATTTAATTTGTTTGAAAGCGATTCTGCGATATCATTACGGTGACAACTGCGCTCCGATTGGCCGTCCCGAATTTGAAACAATTGACGGATGTCATCAATTGTTTTACTTCGAATCGACCAGTTTAACTTGGGCTTTGCTGTAAAGGACGAAAATTGACAAATTACCGATTAAATGTGATTCCGTTTGTTTTGTAATTACACACTACCGAATGGACCAGCCCCCATTGTTAGATATATTATCTTTATTACAATAAATACACACTAAGTCACAGTCATAGAATCATTTATTCTATAGGTAAAAAAAATACACTTCAAAATGTCACATTTAAGCTACTGCTCGTTTACTACGCTGACTTCCCTGAGAAGAACGAGCAAGAAACTTTAGGGATTGCTCTTTTCAAATAAACTTAAATGTTATGGAATACACTTTGAATCAAATTTGTGTGGATTCTGGAGCCGTGTCGTCTTTCCATACATCTTTATATAACACGTGGTCTTCAATTTTGTAATATGACTTTTCAATCAAAATATTGTAGTCTCTGTTTCTGGTTATATACTCGATGTTTTGAAATAATAGTTTTATTTCTAGCTTTATTTAATTTTAACGCTGTGTGAATAAAATACTCAACGGTGAAATAAACTTCATAAGTGTTAAAGGCTAGAAATATATCTCTTATTTGTGAAATAACTAACTGTACAATACCTACCAGTATCATCAGTGACGTAAATCTCCTTCCACTGTGGCAGCTTGGTTTTAAAAAAAGTAAAAAGTACTGAGAACATGAAGACCAACATGCAGAGAGACAGGTGCGCTTTCCACCAATCGTCGCTTACTGATGACCCGCCCAACCAGTTCTCGCCAGACATGCCCAAAGACAATCGGATAGTTATCAGAATACCTGAAAGAACAATGGCGAAATTATTGTTAAAAGAACTCTTTTAGCGTCTTCAAATGCCATAATTACAACATTCAATAAGATATTACATTTTTAACCGACTTCAAAAAAGGAGGAGGTTCTCAATTCGACTGTATGTTCTTTCTTTTTTTTTGAATGTATGCTAAGCGATAACTCCGGTATTTGTGAACCGATTTTCATGATTCTTTTTTTGTTGGAAAGGGGGTACTTCCATAGTGGTCCCATTTCATTTTGAAGAAAATCATCCACCTTTATGGGTGGCTGTTCACGCATGAAGATTCATTTTTATAAATAGCGCCTAATTTAGGAGCAATTATTTTAATGGATAATTTTGCTATTTCTCCAATTTAAGGCGTTTTTTCTCAACATACCTTGAGTAGTGACAACCGATTTTTATTATCTCCAGTGTCAAGTCCTGTATAGTGGCGAACTAGGGGATATTTCAATAAAACTTAGCAAATAGACGTAATTGCACGTACTTTTGAGGTCGGTTTTTTTAGTACTCTGTACTGAGATTACCCAAGGTAGACTAAAGGCCTGTTTAAGAGCCTATTCACACGGCGTATTTTATACGCGCCGACGACGAGTGTTTCACGAACGCCGCAGAGGCTCAGGAAGCAGATTGTTGCGTCTGAATCGATACACACGCACGCACGCACGCACGCACTCTCACCCACAAGCTCACTCACAAATGTATGTAAATGTAATATAAATAATGTTGGGAGGGAGTGAGTCTGCATGGTGATCTGTAACACAGGTCCCCAACTACAGACTCCAGCTCTCCTCTCACTAAGGAACAAGTTATTATATATGAAATGAGAGAGAGAGAAATAAAGCATTTGGTATTTATATTTGTTTGATGCAATCGTGCGTTTGCATTTTGTCGATCATATTTCACCACCTGCTCGAGCGTCTTCGCCGCGTTTCAGGCCTTCTGTCGGATCGGGGGTATGGAACGACGCGCTTGTTCGGGTGTCGACGATGGGCTATCGTTGGCTGCGTTTGGACAAGATGGAAATTCGCAGAAAGTAGATGTTGCCGACCAATATCGAGCCGTTGTACAATTCAATTGACATTTTGAATCCGCCATAGTTCGCGTAGCGTAACTATTATAAACAACATTCGCTTTAGTTTCTGTAAGTTCGCAATTGCATAACTTGAACTTGAATAAAAATCTAAAGGTTATTTGTATTAAAATAACTGTTAGCAACAGGCTAAAATAGCTTCAAACTTTTCAAACATTTTTGCTAAATAAATACGAATCGAAAGATATGTATACAAACCGTAAAAATACGGGCCATGTGCTGGTTCATGATCATCTAAATAAGTGACACCATGCGCCCATATGCTGATCCTGGTTAAGGAGCACAAAATGGCGGTGATGATCAGGATCACCCTGCGAGCATTGGCGTTCGGTTCCGATGACAATGGTTCTGTGTAAGCTGTTATCAGGTCTCCGCCACATAATTCTGAAGATTGAAAAGTAGCCGGTTTGTACTCGTTTCTATTATATCAAGCGACGGGACGGACAAATCATGCGTATTACGGTAAGCGACAAGTTAGTTAGCGTCAGACGCGTACCAACTCGTATGGGTCTCAAAAGACCTACTTGAACTCAGTCCGCCGGTTAACTGTCAGAAGTCCGAAACGACATTTTCCAGAAATAACGTTTGATCAAATTTTCATAACCTCAAAAGGAATTTTAAGAGGAAAATGTTTTTTCTTTTAAACCCAACTTAACCTAACCTAATCGTGTCTTTGCGATAAACATCATTCCATACATATTCGGTTTTCGGTGTAACGAAAATTAGAATTATTTCGAAAAAAAATCCAGTTTGTAATGCCCAGCCGCCATTTTCGCTTTGTATTGTTGTGTGTCTCTAAAATTCTCTAAAATCGTAGAAAAATGTCTTATTGTGCTGTTTTTGAGTGCAAAAATGATCGCTGCACCAAATATATTACCCGTACTAGTATTTCAACCCATCGGTTTTGATAAATTTTAAATTTTCTGATTCAGATGTTAATAAAATTGCAATATAAAAATCAAAACGTCGTAACTGGCAATAAAGTTATTGAATTTTCAACGATATCGCGACTGAGTAAAGTTCAATTGTATTAACAATCCAGAATTGGTTACATCTTTTTAAATTAGAAACCACTTGAGTCACTGCGCCAGTCGCCCTGACACGCTTTGATTACTTTTTGGCGGCAGATCTCAGCAAGGTGGCAGTACTTCCATGGACGAGCTCTTTCACAAGGAGCTCTACTGCTACTAAACTGCTCGAACATAGTATTCCAAGTTTGTTTTATCTACAGCGGTCGAACGGCATTAATTTATATTTGACGTATGTAATCTTGTTTCCGATTACATTTATGTATTATGTTATAATTATGTCATTGATAGCTTTGGAGTTGGCGTCCGTTTGCTACAAAGAAACAATGCAACCGCCTAATACCATTCTTAGGTTATCTGTTACGTCAATACGTAAATTCAATAATAAAAGATACGGATTGTGTATACGTATTTAAATGATTTATGGATGTTTTTGCGTTTTTGTGCCAGGACATGTGTTGGTGTTCAGTTTTTAAAGGATTTCAGGTCGTAAATAAAAAGATACTGTCCACAATATCGGTCCGTGAAATTATTTAATAAATTATTTATTGTCATGAAACTATTTAAAAAAATACTTAGCGTCGTATTCTAGAACTCTACTCAATGCTCAAGTCAGGATTTGAGTATGGTTTAAAGCACTCGAAATCATACTCAAGTCCCTGCCATTAGGGTCGTATTTCTAGTGCGTGTGTTGCCAGTGCAATCCTGACTTGAGCATTGAATAGAGTTCTAGAATACGGCTCTTAGTGATTAATTATTTACAAAAAACTCTATAATAATATTTTGTATACGTCAGTCCTGACATTTTATTATCGTTAATTCACTACTTTATTTTAATTTCTAATGATTAATTTAACTCTTTATTTTAAATAAATGGTTGATTGATAATGGTAACTTACCCACAGCGGGAGGATTGGGTTCCGCGTAAGGGAAAGCTAGGACTAAGAGGCCAGCCGCAGAGGTGATCAATAACCACCCTGAGAGCGCAAATTGTCGACGCCCTTTATGAAACCACCCCAAACCAGGCCCGAAGACAAACTCGGCGACACCGCATCCGATGAATAACCACTCTAGAAAAAATTACGGTTGTATTGGATGTTGATCAAATACAATTAATAATGGCCTTGGTGTGGATTGTATATTGAATTATGGTACAAAACTGATATCGAGGAAATATTTTCTACGTAAACAATTTGCTTTGTCTTGTTTTCGCGACCTGATGGCTAACTTTGAAAGTGATGCTTTTTCAGCTAAGCTGGTAGAATAATAAACCAAAATCATCAAGAACTCTGCTCCATGAAATTCGCGATAGTTTTCAAAACGAAAGAAAAAGTTCAAAAGCACTCGCAGATATTTCGATTTCAAAATTTTTGGTTTAAAACTATGAGATGACGTTGCTATTAACAATATATGTATATTATGTAGAATTAATATCCACGGGCCCGTCTGAACTATAATGTAACCTAGTTTAACGACACCTAACCTCAAGTACGGTATAATTATAAAAACAATTAAGAACCCAAGTTTAAATGAGAACTTCGCGTCGTCTAGAGGACGGATTTTACTCTAAACCCGCCCGTCACCCTGAGACTGAGACGTAAGTGGACAAGTTCCATGTGCTTGTAATTTCACCATTACCCTTACCCTTCAAAACCGGAACGCAGTACTGCTTGGCGGTGGAAATAGGTAAGATGGCTGTACTTCCCTGTACGAACTCGTTTACAAAGAGCTCCACAGCTGCTCTGCTTTAACGTAAAACGTACTGAATGCATATTTAACATGTGTAACAAACCTACTTTATGTAATAGACGGTCTTAACATTGACTTACAATTATATGGACGTCGGGTCCGCGCTAAAAAGTGTCCGCACTTGTAAGGCGCTAAAATCGTATACAGAGCGCGACACTCCGCTTTAGTCTTCATTTGTGCTACTGACAGCGCGATACTGCGATGACATTACAATTTAAATTTCGAATAGGTTGACTTGGGACATTTTTTTCGTGGTTTTTGTATTAGACCCGTCGTCCATTTATTTGTAAGTCAATGGGTCTTAAGCCAGATTGTTCACTTTTAGTTCTCTAAGAATCCGCTATTGAATCGCGGTGTTAAGATTTTCCCTCGAATGATGACTACTCGAACATAATTTTGTTGATGCGAAGAGAAATCTGAGAATACACAGAGCTCTGTAAGGCACCAGGAGTTGAGTCCCTTATTGGGAACTGCTACCCGGTAGACATGGGGAATAGCGTTACATTTCTATCGACGTGACTGTCGTTCCGGTTCCAAAAAAATCACAGTAATAAATCATCGTGATTTTGTCACGAATGTTACTTCCGCGAGCTTGTCAGCCTATAACTTGCATCACGATATACGGTTTTAGCTAGCGGCTTCTTTCTAATACTTATAGCCGTTTTTTATAGAATGATTTAAGTTTTTACTCCCTTTGTAATAAGTTTCAATTTCATTCAAAAAGTTGATTTTGTATTTAATGTAATTTTGTTTGTTACTTATTTAACCTTTATTTAATCTTTGGATTGTTAAAAATAGCAATAAAGTGTAATGTAATTATATTTCTAGTAGAATACACAATGTAGATTATGCATAAATATAAAATACCAACTCTTCCTATAATAAAACAAATTTACAAAAATATTTAATTTGTTCCTAAATAGGTTTATAATACTGCTGCATATTTTTTTCATCCGCCCTTTCTAGTAGTATAAGCACCTACGACCCTTGTGAGTGAGCAAAGAAAGTCATCCTATTTCATTCACTCCCATCGCCGAAATGGCCCGATTTGAAGAGAACTACAACGTCGCAAATTGTATCAAATACGTATGTCGTGATGTGAGTGACGGGGACAGCTATTGGAACGGAGGAATACCTATGTGACTTTGGAACGTCGTTCCTTCGGAATGTGTCACGGTGATACTGTTTGACGGCGGATAATCGTGATTTTTTCATCGTGACGTTATTTATCACCCACCTCTACTACCCGGATCTTCTGATATTTCGTAAGCTCATATAGGGTGAAAAACCTCATCTCGCGGAACGGTATCCAGGAGTGAGTCCGTTCTTGGGAACAACTGCCCGGACCTTATATATGCATATAGGGTGAAATTATATTGGCGACATACAAGGTGAATATTGGAGTTTCACTTGGCTTGTTATGGTAACCTCATCCAACGGAAGAAAGAACCTCCCTCCTTTACACATGTCAATTAATATCTTATGATATATTTCGAGTAAGGCTTAGCAAGTGATACGTTATAAAATTTCCAATGCAGGGTGAAAACGCCTGTGTGTCAATTTTATATGGTTTTGGAGAAAACTTACTATAAAGCTCTTCGATTTTTATTGTTAGAAATGAGAAAAATTGATTATGACTAGGTACTAAAAAATGTTACTAAGTGAATAGTTATTGACGTGATTTTAACATAACATTTACATTATTACGTTTGTTGCTTTTCTAAAATGCAAAAAACGAAAATGTAAAAATTCTTACGACAGTTCAAAAATTTTCATAACTACTTCGCATTAGTAGCATCCACACTATTCTCACAATAAAAAAATCAGCTTCTAATTCCGTGGGATATTTTAAAATTCTCTAAAAAAAATCTAAAACGCCAGAAATTTTGGTGAAAGCAAAAATTTTGTAGATATCTTCTTGCTATGACTTTTTTTCAATAAAAATAAGAAAATTGCATATCGAGTTCTTATGTTTTCGCAACTGTTACACATAGAAAATGAAACTGTTTTTCTGGATTTAAATCGCGTACCTATATTTATTTTTTCAAATAAAGAAACAATCAAACTTTGGTTTGTTTCATACAACAAAGCTGCAATGTACAAATTTTCACAAAGCTAACATTTTTCTTTTGTATTTTGTGTTATCGGCGCAACGATACCTGCCATTCGTTGCAAATGTTTATGCAGTTTGTATTATGTCGTATTCGAACGCATAGAGCTGCTGAGATAGTAAATATCTTTCAATATCTACCTACTGCACTCTGATGCCAGCGCTTTATAATCCTCGTAATCATATTGATAAATTATTATTTTGTTTTTGGAAATGGGCTAACAGGTGAAAAAAGTCGATTATTAAAACAACCACTCCTGTATTCTTCTTAAGAAATAGCTATTTATATTCAGTCGATGCGGAAAAGTCGTGTGTGTGGTGGTAAGCGACACGCCTATCAATTAGTAACTATTGCAGTGACACTCTAATGCTCGTATTCCAGAACTCTACTCAATGCTCAAGTCAGGATTTGAGCAGACTTGAGTATGATTTCAAGCACTGGAAATACGACCCTAATGGCAAGGCCTTGAGTATGATTTTCAATACTCACTGCAATACTCAAGTCCTGACTTGAGTATTGAGTGCAGTTCTGGAATACGACACTTTGAGCCGTTTCACACGGCCATTTTAAGCAGCGATGCAAATACGAACGGATCCTGTCCATAAAATGTTTGACTCAAAGCACGCATGCTTCGCGTTAGGACATCTATTCATGCCATAACTTGTTGAATGAATAGGAACAGAAAATAGTGGTGTATGCCTGGTCCTGGTTCTACAAATATTATATATTTATAATATGTAATGTGAAACACGTAAATGGTATCGTCATATCAATCGTGTGGCCAGCGAAAGTGGAAATAAACTAATTCAAATGTTGTTTAGCACATAATAAGAACTAAAATCGTCTGCACGACCTTCACTCTTATACCGGTGAATTTTCAATTTTAGTACTAATGAAATCAAAATTCGTAAGTTCTAAGTGCGCTTACGCACATGAAAATAATATTTTTTATTTTACCGTGCAACATAGGTAGGTAATTCACAAACTTACCTTCGACAATTAGCCATCACTTTAATGTTGAACTTTTTATCTCGTTTCTTCAGTCGTTTTAACGAATTTAGTTTGTTTCCCATATTGATAATTTACGATGAAGATTAAACAGCTCAGCGGCAAATTCTGTCAACGACCTCTCGTCTCAACGGAGTGATAGTGACGAAATTGTGAAACAAATATATGCTTGAAGTTCCCGTGACATGCGACAGGAGATGTCTATTGCGCATTAAAAATGTCGTAAGTGCGGAATAACTCTAAAACTAAAGGGATTAAAAAAAATCCGTAACGACAGTAGTCGATCATGCGTAAATATCATTAATTATCTAATTTTTGTCCTAATGACCCGTAGCATTTCGAGAATAAATCGAAAGAATATGAAAATTACAGATTATTTCATGATTTTTATCTACCGAGGAAACTTTATTGTTTTATGTTTCTGATTAACGTCTGTGCTTGAATATATCGTGTAGTTACTCGTACAATATTTTATTTTTAACTTTAAAATGGAATTATCCCTCTAAAATCAAATCGAACCTCTTAAATTTTGCAGCCTGGACACTCTACGTATTTATTGCTTTGACATGCGTTCCTCTTTTTTGTTTTAAATCATATATTTTGTTTAATTATATTATTTAGTGAACAAAATTTAATTTTATAATGTAATACGATATGATTTTAATTATATTAGTAATATGACTATATTTAATAAATGCGAACAGTGTATAATATTTGCTCATTGACTTACAAATAAATGGACGTCGGGTCCGCGCTAAAAAGTGTCCGAAAAAAGGGCGTTATAATCGTATACAGAGCGTCAATCACGCTTTAGTCTTCGTTTTTTCGAACGACAGCGCGCTTGTAAATGATGCCTAAAGTGAAAAAAAACAGGGTGGTATATCATATTTTCAGAAAGTACTACATCGTGTTATCATTGTTATCATTTAAAAGTGTTATTTTATGCACTAGTTTAAATAGTATTTAATTTATATTTAAAATAATCGTAAATATAATTTACAAAAGCAATTAAAATAATCAAATAGCTAACTGTCTCTTTCCGACTTGCGTAAAAGACTGAACGAGACCCATCACGTCAATTTCAATTGTTTGAAACACAAACGTTTGAAATATTTAGAACAAAAATTTCATAGAGTCGCTTTGATGCTGATGTTATTATTAAAATATTTTTTAATACATGTTAGTAATTCTTTCAAATATTGTTGTACTCTTTCTACGGCTCGGGGCTACGAATCAGAAGACCGAAAATACATTTGCCCGAAATAGCGTTTGCATGAATTTCCATAATCTCGAAAGTATTTTTTTAGGTTTTTCGGGAGAAATATGTGTATGGCCTACATTTATTTCTCTCGTGAGTTTGGGTGTAATTTGTGGTTGTCTATATGTGTGTCCATGGCACCCGCGACACAGGGTTTCCCTAATGCGGGGCAATGTTGAGTGTGTGCGTTATTATAATTATTATTATTAATTAGTACCTAAGTGTTTATTTTGGAAAGCGTTTCTCTTGCGCAGTCAATATCGCGCATTTTAATTTTGTAACCATCCCACAACGGCAAATACCCTACTACCGTCATAGCCGTACTTTTTCATGCACAAGAAACATTTGCAAGAACTATGAGCAGTACGACTATGCCTGTTGACGGAATCAACCGTCGTCTATGATAAACCTTAATAATTATATTGAATCAATGTAAGCACTACGGCATAAAGAAAAGTAGTGACGTTTTTGAGCACAGTATAATTTCAGTACTATGCACGAACAGGTTAAGAAAATGGTAAGAAAAGAAAGGAAACCAGAGCTGATGCAAGCTTGATAAAAGACCATAATATTAAAGCTTTGGTATGTGATTACATCAATGAGTGAACAAAAACACTGCATAATAATACAAATAGTAACAACCTTGATAGCCTAACGGTTTGCACTGTGGGCACTGGATGAGAAGTTCCCGGGTTCGATACTGGTAGGATCAATTTAACAAATTAACTTTTCTAA